AGGTACACGTGGGAACGGCCAAGCACCTCCCCTGTTGTGAAAGGGAGAGCTTTACACTGTCTTTTGCAGCACTGAGGATCTTTTGCAACACTGTGTATGATGCGCAGTCCCCTGGTGGAAGGCTTCACAAATGTGTCTGCGGGCTGTGGCCACCCATAGTGGGACCCAGGCAGAGCTGATTTTCAGGACAGCTGCTGGATTTGACTTTCCTTGTGGATACTTTCTTCTCCATAGACCTAAGTGGACAAGAGTAACACCTTTAACTTATTGGAAATTCCCATCAGGTGACTTAACTCACAGTCCAAATTCCAGGAATCCAGGAGGCACATTGGGGATAGGTGGGAAAGGTAGAAGGGACAGCTAGGGGGGATGGGTTGGGAGGACTGGTAGGGGGTGGGCTTGGGTGGTTGCAGGTGAGCAGTTACTTCTTTATATTGTTTGCTATAGTGGGCAAAGCCCTTCAGTGATCCTAACAGTGTTTAAGGCAATTGTGATCTTTAAGTCTCTTACATTGTATATTGTGTTTAATTTATAGAATACATAAATAAATAAATAAATAAATGCACATATACAGGTCCTAGTCAAACTGCTCATCTTGTGGCATGTGGTTTTTGTAAGGCCACTTTGCTCTTCTGTGTCAGTGCTGTAGCCATGTGCTCAGAGCTTCCACCACTTCCTGGACAGGCTTTGCCCCAGCATGACCACACCATGTAGAGTGCAGCATGTCATCACTCCATGTGGGATGAATAACCCTGTCACAGGGGGAAGACTGCAGAAAGGGAGAAAAAAGTTTTGGGAACATCTACACAGGTGATCTATGGAGATTATCTGATAAGGCACCTCTTGCTGAGGGAGATTTGTAGTGGGGAGAAGAAAGCAGCCCATTAGCTTTAGAGAGATTGCAAGCAAGTCTATGACAGACAAAGCATAGATCATAGTTCTGAGGTCTCCTTGGGGAAGGGGAAGCAGTACAGATCTCTTATGGGGTCACAAACTAATGATGCCTAAAAATTTTAGCTTTTTATACATTTTTTCTGATATTTGCAAATTTGCAGACTCTTAATACACAGTTAATACACAGCTCCTGGTATTTTTCATACCCTGTCTCTTATAATAATAAGCTAACCCTCTTAATCCATACTTGCAGTTCTGTTTACTCTTATTTTTAAGAAGAAGCCTGACAAGGACATTTTGTTTTCCACTAGAACTTAAAAGACATAACAAGAAATGGGGCAACTGTGGTGTGAAGCTCATTTTGTAGAGACACAGTCCAGGCTTCACCAAGAAAGCCCCAAATCTGACCAGTCTGAAACTCACTTTCTGACCAATCTGAAAGTCATTGAGGCTAGCATACCAGGGGCCCTGCCCAAGATACTATCCTCTTTTGAATATTTATGTAAAACAATATAATTTAAATTTAAAAATATGTAAATAAACCACAAACCCCAAAACAAACAAACGCCAAACCAAACAACCAATCCACCAAAACATCAAAAGCGCACACAGAATTCCTGCCAAACAGGTGTTCCTCCTTAGCATTAAATCCAGCAGGAGACCAGAGCCACTGTTTTCTACACTCTTACCCATGTATTTGTCCCTTATTGTCTGACTTTTCAATTTAGGATGCACTAGACATATATTTTCCACCAGTCTCACTCCCAAGGCAGCAATTGCTCTGGTGTTTGGGCTGTGCATGTGGGTGCTATGGCAGGAAGGCAATCTCAGGCCAGGTCATGAGTCTGGAAGAGGGAGTTTGGCATCACATGATTGTCACTGTGTCTGTGTTGCAGTGATGTCTAGTGCATACATTAGAAAGATGATGAAACAAATAAAAGAAAAAGATTTAGCTATCTTCTCCTTCGGAACAGTTTCCTGCTGTCCACAAGATCCCATTCCTCCCAGTGAATGACCAAGGCTAGTGCACTTCAACATGTTCCTGAGTTCCTGAATTTGATGTGGTTTTCCTGGTCCAGCAGAATGGGGAGGTATGGGCCAGTTAGGATAGGGTTTGAGAGGATGACTAAAAAATTTAAAAAAAAAAAAAAAAAAGGAGAGAGAGAAAAAGGAAAAAGATTAAGACATTCCCCAGGGCTCCAATGATAGCATATTGAACTTACTTGAAGGACTCACATTGAATACAGTGCAGTTTGGGGTCAGATCCCCTCATGCACCATGGAGGTTCTGCAGACCTTAAAACCCAGTAATATTTCAGTAAATTTATTAATGACTCATTATTATTTAAAGGAATCTATAAATATATGGTTGTGTTATTATCAATATATATTAATATTAATGTATTATTATAATGTTGCATTTGAAATAATCTCACTTTTAATTCAAGACTAGACAGTCCAGATACAGGAAAAAAATTGTGATATGTGTTCTGTAGCATATTTGGTGCTGTGCAACCATTCTATAGAGTGCATTTAACTGTATTTTGTGTACTATTCTTAACATGCATTCACAGTAGCAGCAGTTATTGGGTATGTTGTGAATGCCTATTAACAGCAGTACCTATTTGCATATAATGGATCCATAATAAAAAATAGGCGTAGTAAAGGCCTTATGAAGTTATTATGCATGCACAGTAGAGGCTTTTTAAACCTTGATATCTCAGCTATTTTGTTTCTCCACAATTTATTTGAAAATATTAAAAAGGTCAAATGATGGATTAGGAATGTGTGAAACTGTAATATTACTCCTATGGAGGTAATCATTCAACACAAATTAATTCATTTTTGGTTTTATTAGCACTATAAAAGATGTTAAAAAATGCATTTGAGTTGCTGAAAAAAAACAAACCAACTACTTCAATAATAAAAAAGGACAGAGAAAATAGTTTCACGTATTTTGAATGCCATGTGATATAACTGAGAATTTTGTTGGTCCTTCCCTAAACACAGAACTATTGTAATGTCAACCTTTCTTTCAGTATCTCATAGTATTTTTAGTATGTATTGAAACAGTGTTGGTTACTCTAGGATTTTTCATTTTTAGATTATCTTGCATTTTTTAATACTTTGAAAATGCAAAATCCTTGAAAATATAGACAATCCCTAGAACCTTCAACAATATAAATCTTAATACAGAAGTTACTATTGAGGATAATGGGATTCTGCTGTCTCCTTTGTTACAGATTGCAATATTTGTGGTAAAAATGAAGCAAATGGTATGAATAGTACAGCACTTGCTCTTTTTGAACAGTTTCCCCTTAAGTTTTAACGTCTTTGTCTCTTCAGATAAATTTTCCTTAATAAACAGAAACTAAAAAAAAAAGGCTGTGTTTTGTAAAGAATGAGTGAAGACTGAATGTCTTACTTCTTTAAAATAAAACAAAAACCAAAATACCCTCAATGTTTGGGGTGTGTTTTTTTTAATGAAAGGCTATAAAATCATTGAGCACATCCATATAGATGTATAAAACATGATCTTCCCACACACATGTTGTTCTGTACTGCAGTCTTATTTTTTGTTCCCATCTCTAATCAAAAAAATGCCCCAACATATTGAAATGAAACTTTGTGAAAGAAAAAATAATTGGGTGAGGGATTGAGGGCTGAGAACATTAATGCCAAGCTTGGACCAATGTGAATTAAAGCAGATGAATTATAAATCCTACAAAACCAGGATTTATAATGGAAATGCTGACATGGACCCATAACAATAGCAGCTCTGCCAGGGATTATTTTAATACTAAAAGCATACTCAGTCACTCATTATTTTATTATAGAGATTACAAGAAAGCAGTGATACACAACAATAATGAAACCAAATTTTAAAAAAGAATCTTTCTAAGTGACTCCTGTAACTCCCTTGATAGCACTTATATGTGACATGCCACTCCTTAAATTAAAAAAAAACAACATAAACCCATAACACATGAAGGTGGAGTTTGTAATAAGCTCCATGGCAAGGCTGAGCTAAGAGTCTTTGTCAGCTTCCTTTAACAGTGTTTTGCCAGCAGGAGACAAAAGAGTTAAAAAGGAAGAGCAGGGAGCACAGGAGAGGCAGCTTACAGGAGAAACAAGGGCATGAAGAAAGGAGAAGCTAGGTATCAAAACAGAAGAGCAGGAGGAGATTTTTAGGAGGTATTCAAAGGGAATAACTCAGTTTTTAAAGAGATATTGGGGAAACATTCACGAAAAGGCCAAACAGACTGAGAAAATATGGCTGGGGCCAAACCCTTTGAGAATCCTACGCCACACTTCTGAGCAGGTGCATCCCAGTCACATTGCGACATGTCAGAGCAGGTCAGCGAGCCTTGCCACTTGCTTCAGAAAAAAGGCATGATTTGGTAAACCTTCATGCTGTATGTCCAGTTTTCTATAAATGTCTCTTTTATTTTTCAATGTCAAAAACCACCAAGGGATGTGAAGGAAAGATATCCTACAGATGGCATGAGGTTTGCTCCTATTAGTATGTGCTCTGGGGCAACAAACTGCACTCCAAAAATCCCCACACCCCAAAAATCTCACCCAGCAGCATCACACAAAAACTACTTTTTGTGACTGTGCTATGCATTATAGCACCAGCATTACTTCCCTATTACCGCCTACCTTTCCTTGCCTTTTCTTTTTTGTCCCTGGGTACCAGGTGCACTGGAGGGACTCAGATCAATACAAGACAGCATTTCTCATATAAACAATGCCACATTAACAACCAGAGGGCAGCTGTACCTGTAGGCAGGGATAGCACCAAATGCTGGCATGTCTATCCATGCAGCTAGACTGCTAAAAAGAAGCAACCATGCTGGAAATGCACCTACTGTGTGTGAAATTCTGGTGCAGAATTTTTTTCTTTTCTTTTTTTTCTATCAGTCTAACCTTCTGTGTTGATACATGAATGCTGGTACCCACTTAGAGGGATGCCAGATGATCAGTGCAGAATGAAGGTCCCAGGAGAAAGACTCACGTGGTTTTCTCTGCCCCGTGACGTCACTAGCAGATGGCATGGGTACCAGCTCTGGCAGTTGGCATCAATGTCACTTTTTAGAGATCAATGAGATAGTGCACGTATACAACAGATCTAGACTCCAGCAGACGATGCGACATTCAGACTGAAAAGATTTGGAAGGCAAAAAATGAAAACTGATTGTTGAATGAAATAAAAAGCTAAGGTAATACAAATAAAGATATATTTCAATTGGTGTTGGGTGTGCATGCAAGTGTTTAAAGATACAGTATCATTGTCTTGTATTTGTGTATGCTATTTGCTGTTTAATAACTCCTACCATTTTATTCTTCTGATGCAATTACAAACTTTTATTGCTTTTATGTAATACTGCAAATGTGTAGACAATACTGATAGAGTTAGTATTTGACTGGGCGTTTTGTTTAATTTTGTTCTGTTAAAAGTCCCTGCATTTACTTTGCTTGTCTCTTTGAAGTCCATGGGATACAAGCTTTTACTGTTCCCAAACTGCAAACGAAAGCAAAGTAATTGGGAAAAGGAAATTATTTTTCCTTTCCAGGCTGGATTCTGAGCACACGTGCAGGATTACAGTCAGAATCTACAGACCGCTCCTGTCAGCTAAGAGCTGGAGGAAGACATCTGAGCCTCGCAGAACATAAACACTGCTATAGTGTGCAGGGAATTTTTCACTTCTCCCCCCACCCCGCACCAACCCCCCCCCCTTAATGGGAAAGAAAAGAAAAAGGAGAAAAGAACATGAAAAAAAAGCAAATAAGTTGATTCTAATGAAACAGATAATATCAAATAGAATTTTTGCTTGAAAAAGGGGGGGGAAAAAAAAGGTAGGGGGATTTTATTTCCTAAATCTAATCTGAATACATTTAGGGTTAAATAATTCTGATTTTTGTCTAAAATAACTAGGAAAAATAACTAGGAAAAATGCTTTGTTTTGAATTATATTACTAACTGAGTGATTTGGGGGCTATATTCCTTTTTTTTCCTCCTTCTCAGCCATTGTAACTTACTAAAGTTTAATATCTTGATACATAAAGAAAGAAATGTGGAGAGCAAAAACCCACAATATTGAAGTATAAGTCAAAAAGTGATTTAAAAATATTTACTATCAGGTAATAGAGATACGGCACTTTTTCAATATTAAAACTGCACTCCCTCTCCTCATTTTTCCACCCAAGGGAATTTGGATTAATGAAATTTCTGTAGTGCTTTGTCATGTTTTGCATTTCTTAGAATTCCATGATGGTGAGAGTTTGAAAGATTTATTTAAAAATAAAATAAATAAACAGGGAGCTAAATGTACATTCAAAGTATGGATTTACTCCATATTTATCTGTAAGAAATGTGGCTTTTTAGTTGCAGGGTCAAATGTTTCATATGATTTTAGAATTCTCAACAGCTATTATTTTTTTAAATGTGGGCATTTGCAACTGCCATTTTATTAAAAAAATATAGGTTGAGCATTTATACACACATGCACATACACACATACGCACACACTCTCTCTTATAAGGAGAGCTGACACACAGACACAAATAAGGTGCATGAAGCTGTCTGTGTGAGTCAGAAAAATTTAAAAATGGAAATATTTAAACATTGTGCTGGCATTCTTTCAGGTAACTTAAGATTGTAGAACCATGTTAACACTACCATTTGATGAGTCTGTTGTAATGCCAGAATCGCAGATGTGTAGAAAGTTTCCCAGAGAAAGTGATGACCAAAAGCAAATGAAGAACACAGAAAGCTTTTCAAAGCAGATCATCCTCCGAGGAAAGAATATCAAAACATCTCCTGGAGAAGACACAGAAAAAGAAGAGGAGGAAGAAGAGAGAGAAGAGGAGGATGAGAATGGCTTGCCAAGGCGAAGGGGCCTTAGGAAAAAAAAGACAAGCAAGATAAGGATGGAAAGAATTAAATTCAGGCGTCAAGAAGCCAATGCTAGAGAGAGGAACCGTATGCATGGACTTAACGATGCTCTGGACAATTTAAGGAAAGTTGTGCCATGTTATTCTAAAACACAAAAACTCTCGAAAATAGAAACTTTAAGACTAGCTAAGAACTATATTTGGGCTCTTTCTGAAATACTGCGAATTGGGAAGAGACCTGACCTGCTCACCTTTGTCCAAAACTTGTGCAAGGGTCTGTCCCAGCCAACTACAAACTTGGTGGCAGGATGCCTGCAGCTGAATGCCCGAAGTTTCCTAATGGGCCAGGCAGGTGAAGGTGCCCATCATACCCGCACATCCTACTCCACCTTCTATCCTCCCTACCACAGCCCGGAGCTTGGCACCCCCCCAGGGCATGGGACTCTTGACAACTCTAAGTCCATGAAACCATACAACTACTGCAGCGCTTACGAGTCCTTCTATGAAAGCACTTCCCCTGATTGCACCAGCCCACAGTTTGAAGGTCCCTTAAGTCCTCCCCCAATTAACTATAATGGGATATTTTCCCTGAAGCAAGAGGAAAGCTTGGACTATGGCAAAAATTACAATTATGGCATGCATTACTGTGCGGTGCCACCCAGGGGTCCCCTTGGGCAGAGCTCGATGTTCAGGTTGCCTACAGAGAGCCACTTCCCTTATGACTTACATCTGCGCAGCCAGTCTCTCACCATGCAAGATGAATTGAATGCAGTTTTTCATAATTAATGAGAAAAATGAAAATAAACAGTGGTCATTCACTTCCCCATCTAATTAAGAGTAAGCAGATGCTCGGGCACTGCGTAATTCTCACAATTCTATTTGAAATGTTTACTAGTTCCTAAAGTGTGTTTCAACTATTGTGAGGATTTTCTATGTATTAATAAACTCTTTTTATTGTATTTTTTTTCTGTAATCACTGTGAGAATATGTTTCCTCCCAGAGGTTTTCTCCCTCCTTTTTAACTTTTTTTTCCCTATTTGTTTGATTTGTTGAGCAGTGTGTTGAACAATATTACTGAAATAAAAGCGTACACACTGTGTGAAGTCAATGTCTATTTTGATTGTATAGTGATTATACAAATGCATGTTATTGAAATCAGATTAATAAAAACTATGTATTTATAATTGGTAGAAAATATATATTATGTATTCAAGGAGAGCTGGATTAGAAATATTAAGAACTTTAAAGTAATTAAGTAATTATCCAGAACTGAGATGGGCTTGCAATGTGCAGAGGTGAGAGGGTAGCAATATTGAAAGCTATGCAAAAAAAAAAAAAAAAAAAAAAAAAAAAGGGCAAACAAGAAAATGAAATAGTTTTTGGGTTGTTGCTTTTCGGTAAACTAAGGAAAAAAGTGATTGTCATTTACATTATTGACATTATTCAGCCTGACTTTAGAGTGTTGCTGACAGGGGCCACATGATTATATTTAGAAGATGTTGTCAAAAATTTGTTTCAGTTATTTTGACTATATATAATCAGCACTTTTTATTTGTGTTATTATGACTTCAGATGTAAGGTTTGTTATGAAAATGTATAACTGTGGTTTCTCACTACATACTTAACATGCAATTAAAGATAGATGTTTCCACTTTTAAAATACATCTATTAGCTGTGATACTATAGCTGTGTGTATTTTGTCTGATACTTATTATTTCACAGTATACAGCTGCCTTTGGTCTTGCCTACACAGCTTTTTTTTCCCAGGATACTCATAATGCTAAAGTCTGGAGTAGGAAGTCAAGAATTATCAGGGTGAACCTCATGCTGTTTTCAGAAGGATGTATTAGTGATACAGTAGATCCAAAATACCACATAAATATCTGTGTGATAAAAGAAATAACAGGTTATGGGAAGAAAGTAACTTTATATCTTAATGAAATACCAAATTTCATATGGGGAGGAGCCCTGATCTAACACACAGGACACTAGCTGCTCCTCCAACTCTAGCTCATTGGGAATGGCAGGAGCATGTGAATTATGAGAACTTCAGAGAAAAAGAATTCCTGCACATTGCTAAACATAGTGTTGACTAAAAAACAGCACCAGTAAACTAGAGATGTGTATGCAACCCACACTAGTGGGTCTAGCTCAGCAGCTACAGAGGTCTGCACAGTCCCACACACTGTAAAAGAGTTTAGCTTAGCTGAGCCTCAGTTGTTTTCTAACCAGGTAGAGCTATTTACCTATAAACTCATGAGTGATAAAATGAATTAACCTTTGATCTAAAAGTCAACAGCCTCTAAACCTCTGAATGAGCAAGACCTCTTTATTATGATGGATAAACAGCAGCTGTCTGAGCAAAGTACTCTGCTCTAAATGAGGAGAGAATACTTTTTTAAAAGCTGTATAAAAAGTGCAAATTTCACATGCAAGTTGGAAGCTCCTGGCTGAATCACAGTCTGGGTCACAGTTTGTTAATGATACATCAGTCTCAGAGCGTCACTCGAGTACACAGCTGGACAAAGAGGGGATAGCGCAATTTCTCCTGATAATTTGCCTAATGTCACAAGCAATACTTGTTGTAAACAGTCTGCCTTGCCAAGCATTGCAGCTCCCTCAGGACAACCACAATCTGATGTTCATCTCTTCTAAGTAAGACCAAGCTGCCCTCAAATGAAAATTATAACATATCCCAAAGTTTGTGTTAGGGTCTAAATGCTTCCAAGTTTGCAGAGATAGAGGGACAAGCATGGGATTTTGTTCAACCAATATCCTCTCTAGACACAGATATGACATCAAAAAGGAGTCTTTTGGAGCAGTCTTGGGCCACATTTCAGGGGTTTGGCTCAGGATCATCCCCTGTTTCCTCAGGGTCAGGCATGGAAGGTACAGGCAGCAATTTTCCACCTTGGATGAAAGGTGATGGTGATGACTGTTAACTCAAAAGCATCCCCAGGTGTTCTACAATGATTATAGGAGGGATTTGGGAGAAAAGAAGAGCCTAAAATAGATTGCATTTGCTGTTACTCAGAATTAGCTGATATTTGGCAAGACATGGAAACCTGATGGGAGAGAGAAGGGGAAGAAGCCATTTGACAAAGTGAAAGTATGCAAGCTTAGGCACAGATTCATGCACACTGAGAAATAACATATAAAGAGGTGCTGTAGGCAAGAGGGCCCAGAAACAGGGGATCATTGGGGGCGGGGGGGGGGGGGGGTTC